ACAGCGAGATTCGACGCCACTGCGTGCCACCTCAATTTGACTTCGCAACATTTATTTTAAACAATCTATTTAGGTAATTTATCTCCCTTCAATGCTCTGCAAGGAGATTGACTGAGGGGACGTCATTTGACTAAGTTGCGTTAATAGACTGACCTCCTGTTACTGCCATTCGCCAATCGCCACTAAATCGGTAGTTTGCGTAGTGATTCAGATTTTGCGGAGTTTGCGGAGTGATATTCAGATTGACCTAGTAGCAAGATCACGTGCATTTTGGTTTGTTTCATTACTCCAGAAACAAAATGCCATAACATAAACATAACACTTATAAATTTTGATATATAAATACACGTGGAGTTCGCAAAATCTAAACAATACGATAGGTGTGCTATGTAGCGAATTGCAGCAGACGGACGCTACAAATCTTTTTTTATAGGTACATGTATTTATACACATAGTCTTTTTAGGCTTAGTATTATATTTAAATTCTAAATTTAAATGTGATTGTTTTGGCGCCTTTTCTTACTATTGACTATCGTTTCTGTTTTGATAAGTAGCGTAGATGTGTTGTTTTGTGATAAACTGTAACTACATTTACTTTTGTCTCGTGCTTCTTTTGTCTTACAATAAGATTCCGGAGCATATATAAAGATTACCATTTCCTAAGTTTACTTACATCAAAAGTATTTTAATTAAAAAGTCATATTACAAAATTGTAGACTACGTGTTAGATAAAGATGTATGGAAAGACAACGTGAGTCTTTCCGTAGCATTTAAGTATATTTGAAAAGAGCAATCCCTAGAGTTTCCTGCTCGTTCTTCTCAGGGAAGTCAGCGTAGTGAACGAGCAGTAGCTTAAAAAATGACGTTTTCAAGTGTATTAATTTTACGTATGGAATAAATGATTGTTTGACTTTGACTTGCTCACGTGACGTGCTCGTGGATAGCACCCACCCGAACCCATTGAATCAGGCCGCTGCACTATAAGTACAATCTTAGCTCCTTAAAATCTGAGGGGTCAGCGATCACATACGATAAGGCACGACTAGATTAATTATTGTTTGCGAGAGGTTAACATCAACAAAAAGCGTGAAGACGACTGAACTCGTGGTGTGGATTTATTTTTGTAGCATCTTATAAAGTAGAACGCGTACATGAAAGCGCAAGGAAACTCTGGAGCAGATGGAAAGGGTCGGTCGACACACCAGTCGGTAAAGTGACATTTCATTCTCCGTGCGAGCAAAAGACCTACACTACATTAACCTACCAGTTTTAACAAATACACGTCTAAATAAACTAATACATAATGAAACGCCACTTCCGATAACGTATCGGAAGGCGTCTTCCATTAGCCAATGACTCTGTTTTCTTCAAAAAAGTTTATTGTGTAGCGAGTTGCCACCACGACCATGAATAGATGAAAGAGGCGTTATGTAGCAGATAGGGCGATGCCTCGTGTACAGATACGTAATTTGCAGTAAATGTACTTACTCGAGGTCTCTCCCTATAGGTGTCAATGTTTGAGCAAATTAGCGTTTGCTCAAAATATCAACAAAATGCAGTACCACTGAGATGAGTTATGTATGGCGGCTCCTTATGTGGTATGTATTAGTGTCTTGTCTCTAACGGGCAACTTGCCTTGTAGGTTCTAACTAATAATTAATTAGTATACGACGTTTGTACAATAAAGCGAGGCGTGTATGAGGGATAATGATCGCGGACCGGTTCGGCCCTTCGCTAATACAGGTTGCGCGGACATCAACGAGCAGTACTAACCCCGGATTTCGTTCTTATATACATTGTTTTCTTTTGTATTACCTTTTCCATCCCACAACTTATTTATTCTACCTTTCGCAAATAGTCGGGTGACTTACATCAAAGTATTATAATACCTTCGCGGTTACTAGTTAATACATCCCTTTTCGCTGTATACTGGGTGCTTCACAGCTCGCGAGACTTCTGGCTATAGACCGAGGGTCTTGAGCATTCGAGAGTCATGACAGCTCCCTACAGTGCGAAACACTGTAGATGAGCTCTGTCACTAAAGAGAAATGTCATCAGAATGCTGACTAGAGCCGTGGCAGGGGTTTATGGGTTGAACAACTACCTACAGATTATTCTCGAAATGATCCAGCACACTGATGGTCTATGGGACACATCTCATAGTCTATCGATTTCATCGTCGTTCTGCGTCAACTGTTTTCCTGCTTATATATGAAATATTATATGTATATACATCCAATATCTTCCAACTAACTGCTTATTATAATAATTTTTAGTAGCAGAAGAGTTCCTTGTGAAAGAGTTTGTTCAGGGTAGTTACTGCCACCTTACCTATTTCTGCCGCCAAGCAGTAATGTGAGCATTACTTAGTTCCGGTTTTGAAGTGCTGGTGAAATTACAGGCACATGAGACTTGTCAACTTATGTCTCAAAGTGACGGGCGCAGTGGCAGTGCTGTGTAAAATTTTTGTATTTGTATAAAATTCTGAATGGGAATGCAACTGTTATGGACAGGCGTGTAGCTTACCATAAGGCGCACAACTTGTCCGTCCTGTCACTTGATATTATAAAAAAAGGAAATATATAATTTCACAATTAAATAATAATAGGGAAAAATGCAACAGTGCTAAAAAATTATATATACATCAGTTCAACATCGAATTAAACCTCTGAAAAAGGATAAATTATGACACTCGGTGTATCCAAGCCCGCCTGGCAATGCTTATTAAATCCCAATTAAGGAGCTATGCCAGCGGTGGAAAAATACTGGCAGCCAATGCTAAAGTAGAAGATAAACCAACAATTGCACAGCAAAACATGTTCGCACATTCTGAGCTTTTTATTTATACCTCGGTGTCAATACTGAAGCAAGTAAGGAGCTACAAAACTTTTAACCAAATATGGGAAACAGAGATTGGGCAGAGAAAATAGAGTGTAGATTCTGCCACAAATCGGATGAAAATCCTATGCATCACTTCAACCAAATCTTTCCCCTATTGGGTGTATGAGGTTCCATACTGGGAAGGCACAGGCCACAATCAGTGGACATCAAAGTCTATCAAAGTCAGGAAAATCCTTCAGTTCTTTAACACTGTTGGTCTTGGCTCTGTACTTTAATGAGTGGTGATCACAATAGATCTCCTAATCGTCGCATTGATGTGGGTCTGCACAGGTCCTGAATATAGCCAATCTAATAATAATAATAATGTATTTTGTCAATGTAGGGGTATTTTTAAGGGTAAACTTAGGTTTTACTAATGATCCAATTAATCATGTGTATTATAAAAAGAAAATTAAACTATAGTACAGATCTGTTTATGCTACTGATTGCAGATGGTACTTAAAAAAAATCCGAAGTTGACTGTAACTTTCCAAACTTTAATAGCAGCTTACAAATAAAAAATATACTAGTTTTATGCCATAGTCAACATCCTTATGTGATAAATAAAACAATTTTATTGTCTTGCCTCAGTGCAACTTGATCTCAAACCAATAATGCAAATAGAAGGAAACAAGTGACTGATAAATTTGCTACAAGCTTGTTTATGAACAGTATGTAGGAGAGGATTTTGAACTATATAATAAACAACAACTCAACTAAACTGTTTATATCAAAAAGGGGTGCAGTTGAAGAGCATGCGCCTACTGACCGGGATGAGGCAGCGGCTGACCGGCATCGGCGCGCGCCACCAGCAACAGCAGTAGCGCTGCGGTGGCTGCTCGCCATAGGCCGCGTATAGTGCTCATAGCCGTTCGTCTGCGTTCACAGCCCAGCATCCATCGCGTCAGGCTGCCTTCTGTGCAGCCAACTGCCACCACCCATGCGCTGATGCCGCCACTTGTATACAGATTTAAAATTGCACTTGATTTGCGTTCTATTCCTCTTTTCAGCTTTTCGTCTTCAATATGGTTGCACTCTATCTTAACTCTGTGTTAAAAACGTTTAGCACTTTTCGTTAACAAAGCAATATATTTCAAGAAAACAAAGAATCGGTCGACCCGACCAGTCCTCATCAATCTGAAAGATGAACTAGTCTGTGTGTGTGTGTGTGTGTGTGGTGTGTGTGTGAGATGAGAGTGTGTGTCTGTATAGTACACTTACGTTATTCGCTATAGTCAGTGAGAAGCGTGAGCGTGAGGCAAATAGCCACAATCTCGACTTACTCCTTTACTTACTCACATTGATGATTTATTCACAACAAGTGATGCAAAGAGATGGGAAAAACTGCCTATTATTTTAAAAAAAGCGTGCTTTTTAAACGCTTTTTCACTTAGGGTCGTATTCTAGAACTCTACTCAATGTAAAGTCAGGACTTGAGTATGATTTAAAACACTAGAAATCATACTCAAGTCCTTGCCATTAGGGTCGTATTTCCAGTGCTTGAAATCATACTCAAATCCTGACTTGAGCATTTAGTAGAGTTCTGGAATACGACCCTAAGAAATTTCATGATCCAAATTAATACAAGGCACAGTCCGTGATAAGAGGAGGCATTTGTATAGACGATTCAATTCGCCTTCCTTTTGAATCGATTCACTTCAAAATCACATTGGAATGAATCGATACAACAAATCGCGCGATCATAGATAACCTTAATTTAAAAAAAAAGAGCATGAATGGAACAGCCATGGAATTAATAAGTACTTCGTAGAAGTACTTATTAATTCCATGGGAACAGCATCGCCAATTTATGGGGAATTCCCCAAATTGCGGGGAATTTCAACGAATTTCAACTAGATTGGGGATTTTGTGTGGATTGGCGCTATGTGGGGAAAAATGTGGGAATTCTAACATTTTATCATTTCGTTTAATCTATCGATTGCTGATTCATCGCTAGTTTGATCGTTTCTGTTAGAAACACTGTAATGAACTACATCGATGTGTTTAACATCGCACATCCCCCGCATTATTAACAAACATCTTAAATAGAATTATTATCCTCTGATAATTGGTTCGGAATCGTAAAATTATCAGTCGGTGCGTGTTGAGTTCGCGATCTTTTCTCCCGCTTAGGCTGCTCCCTGGTAAGAAGAAAAACGAAATCAACTATTGATAAACAAATAATAATAAACCATTTATTTCAGGCTATAGCCCATAAGATAATGGTGTTAGTTACAAAAGAAAACCTTAGAACTATGTTAGTATTGCATTGAATTTTGAGATATTGATAGAAAATTTAAATATTAAAATTTGGAAATAGCACAATTATTACTTAATTTGACCAGTTGTAATGTTTACCCAAAACTTTAAAATTGTACAGTCAAAACGATGGGCAAACATCTTCAGGGTGCCATTGCCACTGTCACGCACTCGCTATAGCAGAGACGACACTTTTCTACGCCTAATGGCATAAAAGTCATCTGTTCGCGCTTCAGCAAACATGCACTGCAGTGCCGTGGCAGTCCGAACAGCATCCTGAAGATGTTATTGTACTGTACTCGTATTGAGTTGTATGTACGCTTTGTTGTATATCTAATCCATAGACTACTTGAATACATTGACTGACAAAAAGCTTTAAAAAGCGTAACTTTCACCTCTTTTGTACAACGAGTGAATCTACGGGCCAGCATGTTTCCTCTCACAGCCAGCGCTCTGCGCTCCCTTTCAACTAAGACATTTAAACCTATTAACTCTATTAAGAGGCGTGCCACCAAGCTTTAACGATGGTACAACATCTGGACAGCATTTACCTGCCTTTACCACAAGTAGCTCACTTTTTTTGAGTTGTACTTCAGCCCATGCTTGGCTGCGTACATCTCACACACTGAGTAGTTTCCTGAGCGCATTAATAGACGGCCCCAGCAGCACCATGTCGTCAGCATAATTGATATTATTGACGCATATATCATCAATGAAGCTTCCGACATGCATGCTGCCGTGTTCATCCAGTAGCTGATTAATATAAAGATTGGAAAGCAATGGTGACGTAAGTCCCCCTGTCTCACACCGCAATCGAGTCGGTAATCATCGGACACCTTGCCTGCCCATCTCACCTGATTTACTTGATTATTGTACCTATATTAAAGTAAACGTATGCATTCCACCGACACATCCGTGCGTCCTAGTTTGTCCATAACCATAACAGGTCGTAGTTCACAAGGTCGAACGCCTTTGACAGGTCCAGGAAACACGCATACACCGGCGTTTTCCTTTCAGTACAATACTGAATAGTTCTCTTAAGGCACCAGATGGCACTTTCAGTAGACAGACACACTCGGAAACCAAATTGAGTGTCATTCAATTTTGCATGTCTACTGAGGTGGCTATTAAGCAAACCATCCAATATTTTACAGGTTACAGTTGCAAGTGTGATGGGTCTATAGTTAGCCAGATCCGTTTTGTCCTTTATCAACGGCACTACAACAGTTCTCATAAGACCCTCTGGTAAGTAAGAGTGACGCAAGCACAACGTATAAAACATTGCCAAAATTCCCGATAAAAGTTCCCCCGCGTACCTGAGATGCTCGATGCTGAGACTGTCATGTCCTGGGGATTTTCCTCGCTGCATACATTTATAATAGCCGCGACTTCCTTTGCAGATAAACTTACTGCACTCACCCCCATTGCAGTCCCACCATCGCGCATACGGCAGGGCATAGTATTTAACGGTGAGCTAACTGTGAAAAATTTTTTAAAATTATTAGCTATGTCCACACGATCACTCACCCTCCCGACACTCAAGGGAACAATTGGGGTCACATTCCACTTATTTGTGTTTTTCCAAAACCTTCTGAAGTCCTTTGTCGAATGGTGTGATGCTAATATGTCACACTTAATTTGCTCTTGCCTATTCTGACACCATTTCAGCTTCGACTTAAAACTACTACTACACCTCTACGTGGTTTTCCTACTGATATCCCTATCACTTGAAATTTAGCCCTTGCATCCCGATGAGCGCTAGCTACATGCTTGTTCCACCCTGCGATATAACGTCCCTTTCTACAACATTTTCGGACTTTCGATTGTCGAGACGCTGCTTGCAGTGTACTTATTGCAGTTTTGTATAAATTATCTAAGAGTATGTAATGCTTAGGATTATGACACATTTTATCCTCACAATGCTTTAGATCAGACGGGAACTCTACTAGACTGAGCTTTTCGTGACATATTGAGTGATAGGGGTCAATTTGGGCCTTTTGTCTTTCTCCCCACACAATTCCATTGTATAATAGCTTACAATTATAACACTTAACTCTTACTACACTAATATCATATTCCATAAATAGGGGTAAATGGTCGGACCGAAGTATGACGTGCATACTTCATCCATATATTAAACAAAGCCGAGCAGTTGGTACTTCCACGCCACAACTTACCACTCATTTTTAATATTTAATGTCAACTTTAAATATAGGTCGAAACTTAATTTACTCATTGATTATTTCTAACATTAACATGGTATCACCAAATGGGCAACAAATATCGAGTTATCGAGTTATCGAGTTCTTAAGGGCCCGAAACTTCGGTTTGTTTGAAAAAACAAATATACGCGATTTAAATACGGAATAATTAAGTTACTTAATTTTGTAAGGCAAAGAAAAATGATTTTTTTTTTTCAAAAACTGATTAATGTCTCTAAAATACATTGACTTACAATTATATGGACGTCGAGTCCGCGCTAAAAAGTGTCCGCACTTGTAAGGCGCTAAAATCGTATACAGAGCGCGACACTCCGCTTTAGTCTTCATTTGTTCTACGGACAGCGCGATACTGCGATGACATAACAATTTAAATTTCGAATAGGTTGACTTGGGACATTTTTTTCGTGGTTTTTGTATTAGACCCGTCGTCCATTTATTTGTAAGTCAATGCTAAAATAAATAAACGATTTAAGGTCATCTAATTTTATAATTTGCTTTACATTTTAGATTCTGTTTACATTTACAGCAAACGTTGTAGATGGTTACATTTTGAGTTTCTTAATTATTTATTATATTTTTAAGCGATGTATTTGTAATAAATAATGAAAACTCGAGATGTGGGGAATATGAAGTTGCTCTCCCCAAATTTGGGGATTTTAACCGAGATTTTTGGGGATTTTGAACAATTGGCATTGACATCACTGGTGTGAAATCAACTTTCAGTGGTGCTAGATTAGGCGATTTTTCGCCATTTAGGCTATTTCGAGGTAGTGCAGCGACTAAAAAAGTGATCGGCGACTCGGCGATATTTAGGCTATGTTTGAAATAGGAAAGGGCGATTTTAGGCTACTTAATAAAATGTTTGGGGAATTAAAAACTTGATTGGGGACTTTGTAGGGAATGGAGTTTAAAAACAACTCGTTTGGGGGTTTAAGTATTCCTACGTGTGGGGAATTTGGGAAATAAAAGAGTTCATATTCCCCAATTTCCGGCAGCAAGCAAAGTTGTAGAATTATTTTCCATGATTTTTAGGGATTTATGGCTTGGGTGAATATCGGCTACATAACACACATAATAAATTGGCAATTAACTTCGCAAAAGTCTGGCAACACTGCCACCTTTGACAGAAAAATAAAAGTCAGATTAGGCGTGAATTTATTCAAAATTATTAATAAGCTTTAAAGTTGTAAGTACAAGCCTTACGCACAAACAATTCCAAATTAATTTAGTTACAAAGCCATATATTTATTATTCAAAACAAAACAGTGTAACCTATTGGTTATTATGTAACTCACAAGTGATAGATAGGTTACGCTGGGAGATTGTTTTGATATTGCTGGTGTCGTAGTTTCAGAATGGGTGGTCACAGTCATGGCCATGGAGAACCTTACCAAATCCCGGACTATAAAACGTTTAAAGTAGAAGGAATAAAACAGCTAGAAGACCTTCAGGTTGCACTCGCTAAGAAATGTCTGAAGGACCCTTGGATCAGGTACCTTCCTTATTGCTATAACGTCCATTTTTCTGATCTTAGCGTGACATAGTGAAATAAATTTTCGATGTTTCAGGAATGAGGTTTGGCGGTATCACCCAGGATTCGGCACGCGTGCATCGCGTGCGCGCGTACTATTCACTCGTGGCATGCCACTTGGTCTTGGTCTCGCCATGGTGTCTACAATCATCTATAAAGCTTTACCAGATGGTCATGGTCATGGTGACCATGAACATGGTGACAGTGGTCACTAAAGCTGTTAATTATATATTAGAAATTTAGTTTATTGGTTTATACTACGTTTTGAGTTTTCACCCCTTAAATTTCAGACAAGATCAGGTGCTCCTTGAGACATAATGTAATTTAAATAAAAGTTTTAAGTTAACATTCAGTTTCACTTTATGGCCAATATAGCAAATAATATCACTATTTATACATGAAACAGTGGTTTTTGGAATGTCCTTGAAATCATAACAAATTCTTGTAGTTGGCACACTAGTGATGAAAGAGACTCAGTCTTTTAAGGTGTTTTAAAAAACCTCGACTAATTTTCAACTCCTCACGACTAGTCTAGTCTCTTAACCCTCAAGTCTCGAGTCATAAGACTAAAACTGAAGACTAATATGAGTCAAAGTCTTTTAACCCTAGGAAGCTTAAAAGACATAGGACTGAAACGACTGAAATGACGTGCGCCTCATAACCTCGGGAGTCGCGAATCATGAGCTGTATGGTGTGATTTTATTTCTACACACAAAGTATTTATTTTACAATTTTTATTATAAGTAAATAAACGTGATTATTTACTATATACTACTTACGTCATTTTTATTTATAAACTTCGGGTTTAATAAGACATAAAATAGGTATAAGTTCTTTGCAAACAACTCGAGTCATTGAAGTCTTTCAAGTCTTTTAGTATAATGACTGAGTCTTATTAATAAAAACTGCGAATTGTTATAAAACGCCTTAAAAGACTGAGTGTCTTTCATCACTATGGCACACTTGTGTTAATATTATGTTGATCTTGGCTTCAAATCCTCAAAGCATGGCCGCAAGTAAATAAAGTTCTTCTTTGCTGGATTGAAATGCTCGTGGCCCTGCAAACACAATCATTTTAGTGCTATTATTCCATCGCTGATAGACATAACTATTGAGCTACTATTATTTGTTACCTTTGACCAATCATATCCAACTGCATAGGCAAAGATCTGCCCACTGTGGTTAAATGCGCATTTGGTAAGCGGCTGGTCGAGAGGCTCTGATGACTTGAGTTTGGTGCGCGCGTCTTTGTCCCAGAATGAATACGAACCATCAGAGCCCACTGTGGCTAAAGTACCATGTACTGGATGGAATGCTATATCATTCACTGCATAAATGTCCTGCAAACAGACGAAAACAGAAATATATAATATTTACAACCATCAATCTACTGTGCACTAGGCTAAAAAATAACAAATCTAACAATAATTTCTTAGATAAAACATCACAGCAAAGAAATGTAGTAGATACCTGGTAACCTCCTGTAGTGCCAGCAGAACGGTGGCATTTGAATGTAAAGTTGTCTTTGGGATTGGTGGGGTTGACATACTGGATGGCAACGCGGCCCTCGACGCTACCAAGTGCGAAGCCGCACGGCTGCTTAGTCTTCTTGTCGCGAAACACTGCGACACAGCGGTGCTGGTGCTTGAGCGGCGACTCGACGCGCTTGAACTCCGCCGGCTTGCCCTCCAACGTGTACAGGCTCACGCTGCGGTCTGCCGTACCCACCACGGCCATTGGATAGTCCTAAAATGTTAAAGTAGGTACTACACTTTGCCTTTGCGCATAAAAATTCTGGTTTGTGGCATTTTCTTTTAAATCTCTAGACATTTACGTCTCATTTGTTACGAAAATGTTACCACAAATTTATTTTAAAATATAGGTATTGAACATCATACTTTAAAAGTTGCAGTTAAATAAATTACAATACTCACAACATCTGCACAGTAGCAGCGCTCTGACAAGTTCATTGTCATAATTGGCACAGGACTTCTTGTGTCCCAAAACTGTAATTCCATTATAGACCATTATTCAGCATACATCAATTAAACATACAAAATCTGTGATTTGTGAATGAAAAACGGTAGTGAGGAGCGATTATTGTACACACCTTAAGTGATTTATCCCAGGACGCAGTCATAAGGCAAGTGTAGTTGGGTGCCTTGATCCAGTGGCATGTCCTCACAGGTGCCTCGTGAGCAGCCACCTACTAACAAATATTAAATTTCAAGCGAGTTCAATCACCATACAAAATAAGCTAAGTACAATAACTAATATATTATGTTATTGTAAACTTGCCTGCACAGTTTGATTCGCTGCAAGATCCCAGCATTTTACACTTTTATCAGTGGAAGCCATGAACACTTTTGAACCATCCTGCAAAAACCAATATAGTGATCTTTTTATATTTATTTATTAAGCCTTTTAAGCCGAGTTACAAATACTTTTTACATTAAATTATATCTCTTAACTGAGTGTGCCTCTTGGCATAGGCCTCCTCCAGAGTATTTGTTTTTCTTGCAATATGTGTTTTATATAAATGTGTATAAAATTAATAATGAATGTTCTATGTGCTTTTATGTTATACTCTGTGAAGTGATTGTAAATGTTTTGTTTCTGTTTGTATTTGTGCTGAATAAACGTGTTATCTATCTATCTATTTTTTCAGTGCGCTCTATCAAGAGCTACTATTCTCCAACATCACGGTCATGGTTGACATTTCAAATTTGATGATTTAAATCCGGAAAAATAGTTTCATTTCCTATGTGTAACAATCGCGAAAACCGAAGATCTCAGTAAATCACATATATTACCTGGTCTCAAACTAGGTAATTCTTTGTACCGAGAACACCCACACTAGAACTAATATTTGGTCCTACTTGAAGCCGGGACCTCCTTGTCCAGCACTTACACTGCAAACTGTTAGGCAACTGAGGTTGATGATAAAGAAACAGCCAAAGTCAAAGATCATTTATTCCATAGGTAAAATAAATTTACACTTGAAAATGTCACATTTAAGCTACTGCTCGTTCACTAAGCTGACCTCGCTGACAAGAACGAGCAAGAAACTCTAGGGATTGCTCTTTTCAAAATAAACTTAAATGCTATGGAATACACTTTAAATCAAATTTGTGTGGATTCCAGAGCTGTGTCGTCTTTGCATACATCTATATCTAAAAGTAATAGTAGGGGGTATTCATTTATAGAACTAATTGAATTTTTTTAAATTGTGTGTATATTTACTGTCAGTGGATTACCTCATATCACACAGACCAAGTCAATGTTTTATAATTACTGATGAAACAGTAATTACTGATTAAATTTTGTGCTACTCACATCATGCCAGGCAACATCAAGAATGGGCCCGTCCATGCCCTGCACCGCCTTCGGCACCGTCTTGCCCGATCCTTCTACCTCCCAGCACCGCACCTGCCACAAATACAGCTCCATGAGTCCGCAAATACATTTACTATAAGAAGTATACTGTAACATGCAAAAGCCGGTAAATGCCGCGGTACAAACTCTGCAGTCCCAGCTGCCCGCCACTAGAAAAGTCTGCGGCACACTCGGCGGCGAAAATTCAAGCGCCGATACAGTGTCCTCCGGCGGGGAAGTCACTTCCAGGTCTTTGTTGGGGTTAACGCCCCCTCCGCCTAGTTGGTTGAACATCTTGTTCGCTATACAAATAAATTTCACGCCAGTGAACAAAACTTTCGTCCACAAATTCTAACATAAAATTCTACGGCAGAGCAAATTTTTGAACTTTTTCAAAACAGTATTGCAATTGCAGTATTATCGTAGATTATTTTATTTAGGTTACGAATATTAACAAACACAAAAAAGTACTTTTAGAATTCAACTGATTCAACTCAAATCTAACTTAGTAGTGCTTGCCATGTGAATACAATTTTAATCTCTTTCAACTCAAATGATTCATCATTTCATTTAATTCTAAAAATACTCAACAGCATAGATTTAGTAATTTAGTATATTCGAAAGTCAAAACTAGCAATGGGCGAGTTCGAGATAATTAACTCGAGTTACTCCCACGAGTCAACTCAGGCTACTTTTTTTTCATACTCGAGCTAACTCGTTTCGCTATTTGAGAATTGTATATGGGATGAGTTGTATTTTTTCAATTCGAGTTACTCGATTTGACGTGCTTGCTAATTCGAATTAACTTGACTCGGTGTCTTACAGAGCAATTGCGAGTCGCGAGTAGAACTCGAACCGACAATACACTGTGTTGTGTTGGTCACTATTGGCCGCCAGAGCGTGCTCTGAAGGCCGCCGACTGAATATGAAAGAGTCAACGCGCATTATGAATATAGTATTCGGCTCGGCGAGTACTGAACCGAGTTAGCTAGAGTTCATAAAAAATTAACTCGACTTGACTCGTTCCAGGACTCGTAACTCAAGTTAAGAAATTTATAAAAGATAAAAGAATATATCAAAAACAAATTAAACACATTTTGAGAAAAATAAGTATTAAAAAAAAGTTTATAAAATAACATTTATAAAATTAAGCCACATCTAGTATATTAGCGAGTGTGGTCTGCGAGTGTATCTGTGGTTACACTCACACTGACACAGTTTGGTACCTGAGATCGTGTTGCCTGTTGTCTTTTCGTGCGGTAATACACGTCCGATTTCGTGTGTGATGGTCGGATCCGACTATCGGATCGGATTCACTCAATACACGTCCGATAGGCGTCCGATTCTTATGTCAGACTTTTTCCGAACTAACTGCAGTGTTGCCATTTATGGGGAATTCCCCAAATACAGGGGCTTTCTTGAATCAACAACTCGTTTGGGAATTTTGTTTGGAACATGATATGTGGGGAAAATTCTAGAATTTCATCATATTTTTGTTATATTGATGATCACTGATAAAAACCCTACTTTTAATTTATTTGTTTATGAACGATATTGATATTTTTTTCAACACCGCACATGCGCTGCTTATATAGCAACATTTATATAGAATTATTAGCAAACCGCTTATATGTATAAAATTATTCAGTAGGATTAGAATCACTTTGTCTTGAATTGTAAAATTACTACTATTGCCTGCCACGGACAAGAGCCTGGCTCTTAAATAGGATGATGATGGTTAGTCGGTGCGTGATGAACGCGCGACCCTTCCTCGTTTTGACCGGTTCCGGTTTGAAAAAAAGAATACAGTTGTTTCTGAACAAAGCCGAGCAGTAGGTATTTTAAAGGACTATCCACACACATCAGGGCCGTGCCTGAGACGTGGACGGGCGTGCTAATTTGTATGAACTGCGGGCCCGTCCCGGCGCCGGCCCAGATACGGACATGTGTGAACGAGATCGTACAAAATAACCGCAACGATATTTTTTGACCCCTGATGGAGCACGGCCCGTCCACCTCTCGGGCACGGCCCGGACATGTATGGATAGACCTTAATACCACGTCTTGCCACTCGTCAAGTTTGATTAGTATGCTTTAAACTTAATTCCACTTGTTGAGTTTATTTCTAATTATAGCATAACGTGTATGTAATAGATGGGTACATTTTGACTTTCTTAATTATTTGACATATTTTTAAGCATAACAATAATAATATAATAAATACTCAGAATTAATAAATATTATTACATGTGGGAAATATGACCTTGGCTCTCCCCAAATTTATAATCTTGATTTTTGGGGATTTTGAATAATTTGCATTGGCAACGCTGCAGGGAAGAATCGGACGTGTATTTCGTCTCTCCGCAAAAGTATAGAGAACACGCATTCAGACAATCGGATCGGTAACAAAATCGGACGCTATTTCCGACTCGGACGCCACGTGTCACGTCCAATCCGATAACCTGATAATCGGATCGGACGTGTATTCAGAGTTCATATAATTATATGGTACGAGCGCCTTCCGATCAGACTATCGGATCCGACTATCGGATGGAAAAAACGGACGTGTGTTGTCGCATAGTATTCACGTGACGTATACATTTTTTGTTTTATTTAACAAACATCGCAAATATGCAAGGGCACCGCCGCTATGTGAAAAGGAGAGAAGATACACAAACATTGCAATAGTTTGACAGTCATAGTCAATTTATCAATTTAGGTCCACATATTAGAAGGATATAGGTCCAAATTTAGTAGTAGGTATGTGACCATACACCGGTTTATAAAATGATAAACTAATGTTATCTTGGTTTTATTCAATCTCTTGTAAATACAATGATGGTGTTTTTAATACTTGTAGAAGTCATACAGAACTGACTTTTATGGACAGCATGAGCGGGAACAACATGGAGTACGTGCAAATCAAAGATCTGAAACCGGGGATGAAGAACATAAACGCAGTGTTCATCGTACTGGAGGTGGGTCCGCCGACGTTGACAAAGGAGGCTCGCGAGGTGCGAACTTTGCGCGTTGCGGACGGGTCGGCGTGCGTTAACCTGTCGGTGTGGGACGCCCCCGGCGCGCTGCTGACGCCGGGCGACATCGTGCGCCTCACTCGTGGATACGCTGCCCTCTGGCGAACAGCGCTCACACTATACTCTGGGAAGTCCGGTGACCTGCAGAAGATAGGCGAATTCTGCATGCTCTTCAATGAACAGGTTACACACATAAATGTCTTAAATAACCATTCTTACTGTCTGCTAAGGCCCTTTAAGGCTATACAGAATAGATAAGAGCACACAATCAGCAATGCCATAAAGCAGGACAACAACAAATGTACCCATTTCTTATTATTTTATTACACTGCAGGTGACTGCAGGGGTGTAGTTGCAATAAGTGCATGTATTTTTTGTGTTATGTATCATGTTTAACAGAGGAGGAGTGTGATAAAACAACATTTGGATGGACAATGAAATGAGTCCAGTTGTATTTTTAGATACAACTTCAGATTTCAAATTGCAATATGGGCAATAAATAAATAAGGCTCTGCTGTAGTGTGTGATAAAAAAATTGATTGCATTATGCTTTCTGGGAATGCTATCAATATTAATAGAATTATTGTCAAAAACACTTTTAGGGTAATTGACCCCTTTAGGCGGTTTAGGACCACAATGAGAAACAACACGATTAAAAAGGACCACTTCTGAAATTGACCATTTCTTCAATTGACCACTTCTTGAATTGACCGCTTCTAGAATTGACTACTTCTGGAAATGACCATTTTATTTTAGACCCTTTCGCTAATTTAAGATCATGCCCAGACATTTATTTTAAATAATTATGTTTACAGATATTTTTTTATATTATATTTCATTTTTAATTATGTTTATAAAAAACCAATTTATAATTAAAAATAAAATGGTCATTTCAAGAAGTCAATTCAAGAAGTGGTCAATCCAAGAACTGTGGTTATTTGAAGATGTGGTCATTTGTCATTGGGGTCATAAACCACTGAAAAGAATTGACTGCATTCCTTGAAACTGACATTGGCCCAAGCCTAGTGGCCGCTATTAAGGAAATAATAATAATAATTTACAATACTTTTATTGTGTATACCCAGAGTGTATCTGATAGATAATTTAAAGGAATTAACATTCTTACGCTTGCCCTATAGCAGATTTAAAAAATGTAATTTATGTTTGTATACCTCCATTTGTTAGATCAAAGTTTATGTTAAGTAAATTGTAATTTTTTCGTTTCAAATAGTGGTAGGCAATAAAAAAAAAAAAAAAAAAAAAAAAAATTAAACTATTAATAAAAATTAACTGAATATTCTTCCCAGGCACCTTCACAAAGTCATGAATACATTTAAGGCGCAATGTTTGTATTCTATTATTAGATTTTGGTGGATATTAAAAATTGGCTGTTTCCAAGATTTCAAGCACATAGGACTTGTCAAGTTATGTCTCATAGTGACGGGCGCAGTGGCAGTGCCCCTCAGATCTTTGAGATTTAAAACTCTGCTGAAGCTGTATATAATATCCTATATATGTATATAATATTTTTTATTTGACTGCCTCCGTGGCCGAACGGTTACCGCCGGACTGCCACGCAGAGGTCCCAGGTTCGATTCTCGGGCCGGGCGAAATATTTGTATGATCTACATTCATTTATCTCATGAGTTTGGGTGTAATTTGTGGTTGTCTATGTGTGTGTCCATGGCACCCGCGACACAGGGTTTCCCTAGTGCGTAGCTATGTTGAGTGTGTGCATTATTATTATTAAAAAATGTATATATTAATATCTAGTATAACATTTTCTTTCATTATAGTTTTTTTTTTATAAATGGTTGCAGTGCCAATAAATTTTTTTTTATCGCAAAGATCTGAGGGGCACTGCCACTGCGCCTGTCACCCTGAGACATAAGGTGACAAGTCCCATGTGCTCGTAATTTCACCAGCACCTTCCCTTCAAAACAGGAACACAGTAATGTTGACATTACTGCTTGGCGGCAGAAATGGGCAAGGTGGCAGTACTACCCTGGACGAACTCTTTCACAAGAAGTCTTCTGCAGCTAAAGTATGAACTAATGTCCATTTACAAAGAGCTACACCTAGAATTTCTGGCTCATTTTTTTCAGGGGAATTCGCCTTATGAATAAGTATTAGAGAGTAATAAATGTTACAAGTCAAGCATAATTTGCTTACTTGTGAAATAAAGAGGTACCCATTTAATTTGAGATGAAAATATGTACATATTGCAGGTGAATATGAGCGAGCCTCAGCCGCAACCGCAGGTGCAGGCGGGCTCAGCGCCGCCGGAACGAGCCAATGGCACGCCGCGTGGTAGCAATGCGCCGCCGCAGTCGCCGTTGAGCGCGGCGCCGCCCGCGAACAAGGCCGATCGCTTCGGCGCTGCAGTCCCCGATCGCGACACGAAACACGCGCACAAAACGTACGTCCGCGGCGGAGCAAGACAGCACCAGCGCTCCAACAACCGCCGGTAACCGCTCTTTTGCCATATTCGTTTACTGCTTATGCCCCCGTAGCATGGCTACGCATGATAGTCGCGACGCGCGCGATGAAATTGACATAATCGCGCACTATTGGCTGTCTCAATCAGATCTAATTTAGATATCCAATAGCGCGCGCTTATTCCAATTTTATCGCGCGCGTCGCGACTATCATGCGTAGCGATGCTATGGGGTCAGATGAAGTTTGATATTCTATTATATTGGTAATTCTAGTCTTGCATCTCGAGTTCTTTCAGAGATATTTCTTTCAGTTCAGCTTTAAAATAGCTGACGTTGAGTTGGGAGTTATTATTTTTGGACGTACTTCTGGATCTGATAAAAAGGAAGCCCATTACAAATTTTTATCTTGACATATCTAAAAAATAACCTTTTGGTAATACTGGTTTGGACTTGCATGATCCTAATGTTCAATGTTGCTCCTCCCAGTTCGTTCGGCACTTCTCCTCACCTTGAATCTCCCGCTCTCTCGACCGGCACGTGTGAAATCAGAACGTTTCAATAGTGTCACCGTCAACATTAAAAACTCATCATAATTGTATGCATAACGTGGCTGCCATCATTTCCATTATTAAAATTCATTCAGAAACTTACCCGATTTCATTAAAGTTCCCGAAAGTTACGACGAGGGAAGGTTTGACCATGGAATTAATAAGTACTTCGTACAACTGGAAGGCTTACTGTGTATTGAAGCGTGCGCCGAGCGAGAAGTCATAAATCTTGGTCCGTCTCTTTCTGACTAGTGTAACAATTCTTACATGGATATCATTGGACATATTTGAAAGAAAATGGCTCAATGACAACGAAGACATGGTATGTACAGTCAACGGCACGTCAGACTTCACATTTTTGTTCGAATATCGCCCTCAGTGCAACGGAATACGGTCCATCAATGTATAGCTTGACCTGCTGTTGACGTACAAAAAAAATGCCTGTTAACATATGGTAATGGTATTCAAATAATAATTAATTAAAATCAAACAGAACAAAAATCTTATTAATCTCAACAATAATTAGTGTCGTATTACCACAGTAATTTGTTAAAATAGGTAGGTAATTATAATTATGCTTTGTTTTTTAAAGGAAGAGCCGTGAGAGTTGTGGCCATCGGAGTCAACTCTTTGAGAATTGTGTTTCTATCTAAAGAAAATCAAAAATAAATGCACTAGCGCACACCACTCTCGCGATCTAAACTTTGTGCTCTCCTATAAAAAAAGAATAGGCATACTTATCTTAAATAAAACACTAGTCAAGTAAATATTATATTTATTATTTTTGACGTTATTAAAATTAAACATTACTGAACAAAATTGTTTTGTGCAATTTGTGGCGCAAAGTAGCGCGAGATGTGCCGATGACCTTGAGTGTTTTATCTTTGCCATAACTTGACATTCTCATTGTGAGATATTTGTTAGCAATGAATTTTAAAAGTATAATCTCATGTCTGATTTCACAGTTGAAAGAATTAACTGGATGTGGCGGAACAATCATTGAATTTAATTTATCAAAAAAGTGCTGCTGAATCAGAATCATAATTTTATGCTTGTTGGTTTCCAACAGAGAATCTTTTGCCAATGTTATAAACACTTTTTCCGTGTATTGAACAATAAGAAATACGAATTTTGATGCATATTTCAAGCCACCTCTATCTATGAACATGGTAAAAGCGGAATGATTATTTAAATCAATAGCATAGCCATGCTCTTTACTGATCTGAAATTCTTTGCTTACCAGCACAGCATTGCAATCTTCACAGTTACTTTTCTCAAAAAACTTTTTTACAATGAAACCGGATGTATAATATAAAATATTGTTTTTGTATTCAGACAGACTTACACCATTAATGATATTAAGGAGCCATTCAGTTTGTTCTTCCTCGTTTGTGTCTATTGTAAATACTGAATTGCATCCATGCCGATTTGATATGAATTCTAAAACTGGTGACGTTTCAAAATCTGCGTCAAATGAATTGGCGTTCACACTAGGAGTGACGCTGTTACGGAACAGTAATTTTCTTAAGGCATATTTGACTTGCAAAGCACTTGGGTTATCATTATGACCGCCCGATGCTCTCAGGCAAGAAAAGAACATTTCTAAATGATCTTGTGAGCATTTGTATGTAAGAAAATATTTTAATATACCCTTTTGAAGCAAATCTAATGCAAGTTGAGAAAAACTAAATGTGTCGATTATTAAGCCGAGACATGGTGTCTTGCGACGGTGCTGCAACATTGGACAACCATCAATTTTAAGTTTGCATAGATATTCTCTTGTCTCATTCAAAATATTCGTCCACACATGCATATTGTCTATACGCATCGGAGATTTAAATCCTTTACCAAAAGGTTGTTTGCAATTAAACAAATCAAATATTCGATCTAATATTCTTATATATTCCACCGTCGGCGTCGCTTCACTACCTGCAAAGCTTGAATCACCACTGCATCTTAAAAAATCCATTGAATCTGCCACGGATGAACTTAAAACTTGGACGGCAAGCCTAACATTCATTTTTTTACCATAAAAATTAACATGGGTACCAGATAATTTATTGGCTAACTTTAAACCTTCTTGATCCTGGAGATTATGTAATTTTTTAACAAATCCAAAATTAATTTCTCCTTTTTCAGAACTCATATTTGTTTC